CCAGACACTTACTGCGTCCGCACGACGGTCGTACGACCGTCGCACGACGAATCCACATTTGCTTCCGGCGAGCGGTAGACGACGCAATGCCGTCTGCTGATTGTCAGTGGCAATCTGAACGGATCCTCATTAAAATAGACGATCCGTTGGGTCTGCGTCTTCGCGTGCGTTCTTCGTCGCGTCGCCGTCGCACGCAATGAGTAACCGGCTTTAATAAATTGATAATGATATTAAACTCTACAATAGAATAAGCTAGCCTAGAAGGATAATAATATATAATAATTTAAAAAAAATATAAAAATTGTATATAAACAAAGAAATAATAGTAGGCCATATGAAACAGGTTAAAATAAATGAACCAGAATAAATAGAAATTATAATTAAATGTGACTGAAATCTGAGAGAAAGTATGATTTTCCGGCAGAAGGCAAATTCACTGATAAATCCGAAGTGCTTATTGAGATCGTGAGTGTTTGTGTTACGTTTTTTAAGTCTCAAAGTCACTCTCTAGGCAGTGGATGGTTTCCAAAAATAAACACTGTTCTATGGCGAGCCAAGTTGTCATTTAATGGTTAATTATCTTAGTTTTAAATAGAGATATCTTAGTTTTTATCTCTATTATAGAAATATCTCAGTTTTAAAATAGAGATAGCCTATGTTTATTTTAAAATATCTTAGTTTTAAATAGAGATATCTCTGTTAAATTAGATTTGGTAGAGATATCTCTATTTAAAACTAAGATATCGCTATTTAAAACAAAGATATCTCTATTTAAAATAGGGATATCTCTATTAACTAAGATAGGCCCATCTCTATTTACGATTAAATGACAACTCGGCTAGCCATACTGTTTTCCTGTATTCGTTTAGGCCCTACTAGTCTTAGGTTTTACCGACATCTGTATTAGACCTGGTTCTCCCATTTAGTTCTTTTTTCCTTTGTTCCTTTGGTCGGCTTTTAGAATATGGTATTGTTGAGATTTTCAATATTATGATAATGTTGTCGCCAAATCGCCTTGAGCGTGTCTTTGGCTATCAGCTGCTCCTGTATACATATCATGTTTCTTATTAGAAACCAGAAAGACGAGATACTGTACATCATTTCATATTAACGATTTTTTTTTTATTATTAAGCCTATTGTTAATAATTTTTAAAATCAATCGGTCCTTAATAATTTCGTTTACATTATGAATGTAACTCTATGATGATTATTTTGTAGTATCGTTCTTACTCATTGTTGAAATTCGTATTATTATAAACCCTTAATAATACTATTACTCCTATTAAAAATGTATTACGGTTCTCTAGGAACAGTGGGGCATTCATGTAGCATTAGAGGGACATGCACCTCTTATTTTAACAGCCACAAAATATTTAATTGAAAATATAAATTATTTTTAAACGTTTATACTATCACGTGCCAGGATTCATGATGACACATTTTGAAAACAGGAGAAATATTGGAATATCTATTTTGGTACAGGAAGCACTCTCGTATTCAGGGTGGGGTCTCGTATTCAGGGTGGGGGGGGGGGTTAGGGTTTGATGAAATCCATTTCCGAATGAAGAGCCGGCCTCCCTCACTCCCCCACTCTAATACGGAGCTTTGACATCACGTCGGTCTAGTAGAAAGACAGCAAAACAGACAGAAAATTAAAACAATCTTATTTTCTCGGTGTAAGCTTGCAAATTCCCGACTTAAAAGTTTTCCATAGCAGGTCGTACTAAAAACTATGGTTAGCAAAATGATAAATGGTTGCGACACTAAAATTCGCTTCATTGAGATATTAACAAACGTCAACATTTAGAAAGCTAAGTCTATATGGCCTACAACTGTGAGGGATCCGCCTACTAATTCTGCACCATTACTACGGGTATTCACTACATGAGGACACACTAAAGTGAATTAAAACAATCCCGCTTCAACCAAGGACTAATAACTGTGACCAGGATAGGAAGCTGGCTGGTTTACGCCGTCTAACTGGAATTAGCCTTATGTGTGGTATTGTTATGATAATAAGCCAGATAAGCACAATCTGCACACGCTCAGAAAAACAAAACTTTCCTTAGCCACACGCGCGGCCCGCACTGCGTATCGGCTTGGCGTACAACTAGGCCTAGCTGAGAATTACGGTACGGTAAAACAAAGAAAAAGCGTATTAAAATAAAAAATTGAGAAAAAAAGAAAAAAAGAAAGAAAAAGAAAAAACTGATAGACCACAACGCCTCAAATGTTATTTTCGGGCGTCTAGAACACAAAAATTTCGCGGGGGCATGCCTCCGGACCTCCTAGGTCATTGTTGTCTCGATCGGCCCAAATTTCGGCCCCTTCGGCCCCCCCCCCCCTTTTGGACATCTCTGGATACGCCCCTGTGATTGGTACAACTGCTGCACAGACAATTGATATTACAGTTTAAAAACTTGTTCAAGCATGCAAATATCATTATGGATTTGCGGGAGATGGTTTATTTCGGGAAAAATATGCGGGAGTTCTTCCTGCCAGTTTCTAGGAGACCCCATTGCGAGACTCTACGGGAGACTTGGAATTCATGGGTACTAAATGTGGTCCTTAGATTTCTCTATTTGAATGTAGGTAAGAATGGCCCCGGAAAAAATGGCCCCAGAAAACATGGCCCCGGAAAAAATGGCCCCAGAAAAAATGGCCCCGGTAAAAATGGCCCCATATGACAGGTAGGTAAAAATGGCCCCAATGAAAAATTCGGTAATAGAAATGAATATCGAATACCAACGATGGGGACTTTCAGAGGCCTGGCATTTCGCGGTACGTATTACTGTCATGGATAACATCAACAACAAATCTAAATTGCTAACGAGCACAAACATTTTAAAACGGAAAAACAGTACAGTAAAATGTACAATAGTCAACGAGTTTGTCAAACAAGGTATAAAAAAAAGTCTTGCCTTGGGTAGCATCTTTTTAATGAAAATCATTAATTTCATTAAAAAAAACACAAGTTACTGATTGATTAAATAATTCTATTTTAAATAAGAAATGATTATGCACAGTAAAGGTAACATAGGACAACATTTAAAAGATCATTATATTAGTGCTACTGAAACTGGTAATTATTTCAAGGTTTTATCTAAGTGCAAATCCAAGTTTAATTGTTTATTTAAAGAAATGCTTTGGATCAAAGAACTGAAACCTACACTTAACAAACAAACTGATTCAGTCAAAGCCAAACTGTTTATTTAGTTAATCTGCTAAGAAGGGCTAATTATTGCTTAGCTCCATTGTGGCTCCACAGAGTAGGCCCTATTGATATGTAAATTAATTACTTACTTCCTGTCACTGCTTGGCATTTTTGTTTTTATTTTTTTTCAATTTACTTGATCTTGAGAATGGTGGACCCGAAACGTCGATCTTTCTTGTCATTAAATTTTGTTTTGAGATTATGTTCTTAATTGATTTAATAAATAAAATCCACAAATAATAATTTGATTTACTAAATTTCATTATGTAAAAATAGTTATGCTTTAACATAGATTAAAAATATGTTATGCCTTACTTATTTTTAATCTATGGTCTTTTTAATTAATTTTCTTTTTTTTATTGGAAATTCCGTAGTGCAGAGTAAATTTATCAAAACCCATTAGGTTTACATTAATATGAAAAAAAAAATTAGTTAATACAGAAATAGTATATAAAATGATCTCAGTTTCCAAAGTTAAAGCAAAAGATCTAATATAAACACACATATATTAGGCAGGATGTATTTGTTTGAAAAAGAACCCACTCTTTTGTGAAATTAAGAGGTTTATAGGTGAAAATTGTAAATTTAGAAATAAGTTTTATTTTTTCCTTTGAACTGAGATCAATATGTGATTTTTTTTTTATTTCTTTAAAATCATTTGTTTTTTAACAATTACAGCACATGCAAATAATGTTCTGAGAGATAATTGAAAAACAATGGCCATTGAATAACATTTTTTGATAGTAGAAATAAAAGTTTTAAAAACGTTATTTCACTAACAAAGTAGAGGAATGACATACAGTATACAGTACTTTACCAAAATATGCAACTCATAAATAACCACAAACTTCACTTTTGTTAAATATCAAATGAATTAACTTTACATGTTATAAACAATGCAAATAAACAGTAGTTAAAGCATGTGGATCAATTGTGTGTTACAGAATTTGATTATTGGGGAGATTCCTTTTGAAAACTAAATTAGTTAAGATAAAAAAAATGCATATAATGACTCAAGAAAATATAATGACTCAAGAAAATCAGTTTTAATTCAGAATTTGATTATTGGGGCCATTTTTACCTACCTGTCATATGGGGCCATTTTTACCGGGGCCA